GCGACCGCCCCTGGCCGAGCTCTCCAGCCCCTCCTCCCCGGTTGCCTGGGCAACGGCGACCCCCCCCCTTACCAGGAGAAGGAGCAGGGCCGGCCACCCACGGACACGGCCACGTCGCTGCCCGCGTTCAGGTGGCTCCCCTCGATGCCGATCCACGTGCCCCCCGACAGCGGCCCGCGCGACGGGCTCACGCGGTAGAAGGTGGGCGACTGCGGGCAGAATTGGGGGGGGCCGTCGCTGCTGGAGGGACGCAGGGACGTGCGTTGCCCCCCCAAACACACCTGCGCCGCCTCATGCCCCGGAACTGGGGGGGTCCCGGATGTACAGGGCCAGGAGGGCCGGGGCGCCCCGGAACTGGGGTTTTCCCGGATGCATAAGGCCAGGAGGACCAGGGCACCCCGGAACTGGGGGGTCCCAGACGCACAAGGCCAGGGGAGCCAGAGCACCCCGGAACTGGGGGGTCCCTGATGCACAAGGCCAGGAGAGCCAGGGCACCCCGGAACTAGGGGGGTCCCAGACGCACAAGGCCAGGAGAGCCAGGGCACCCCGGAACTGGGGGGTCCCTGATGCACAAGGCCAGGAGAGCCAGGGCACCCCGGAACTGGGGGGTCCCGGGCATACTGCACCAGGAGGGCTGGGGCGCCCCAAAACTGGGGGTTCCTGGATGCACAGTGCCAGGAGGGCTGGGGCGCCCCAGAACTGGGGGGTCCAGGACGCACAGGGTCAGGAGGGCCGGGGCGCCCCGGAACTTGGGGTCTGAGATGCACAAGGCCAGGAGGGCCGGGGCGCCCTGGAACTGGGTTCTGGGACGCAGCAGGGCAAGGGCACAGCCCCGGGGACACCCATGTCCCCGGGGATGGGGACAGGGACGGGGACGGGGAGGGGCAGGGGTTCCGGGACGCACAAGGCTAGGAGGGCCGGGGCGCCCCAGTACTGGGGATCCGGGACGCAGCAGGGCAAGGGCACAGCCTCAGTGACACCCATGTCCCCGGGGATGGGGACAGGGACGGGGACGGGGAGGGGCAGGGATTCCGGGACGCACAAGGCCAGGAGGGCCGGGGCGCCCCGGAACTGGGGGTCCGGGACGCAGCAGGGCATGGGCACAGCCTCAGTGACACCCATGTCCCCGGGGATGGGGACAGGGACGGGGAGGGGGACAGTGAGAGGCAGGGGTTCCGGGACGCACAAGGCCAGGAGGGCCGAGGCGCCCCGGAACTGGGGGTCCGGGACGCAGCAGGGCAAGGGCACAGCCCCGGCGACACCCAAGTCCCCGGGGATGGGGACAGGGACGGGGACAGTGAGAGGCAAGGGGTCCGGGACGCACAAGGCCAGGAGGGCCGGGGCGCCCCGGAACTGGGGGTCCGGGACGCAGCAGGGCAAGGGCACAGCCCCGGTGACACCCATGTCCCCGGGGACGGGGACAGGGACAGGGACGGGGAGGGGCAGGGGGTCCGGGACGCACAAGGCCAGGAGGGCCGGGGCGCCCCAGAACTGGGGGTCCGGTACGCAGCAGGGCACGGGCACAGCCCCGGCGACACCCATGTCCCCGGGGATGGGGACGGGGAGGGGCAGGGGTTCCGGGATGCACAAGGCCAGGAGGGCCGGGGCACCCCAGAAATGGGGGTCCGGGACGCAGCAGGGCACGGGCACAGCCTCAGTGACACCCATGTCCCCGGGGACGGGGAGGGGGACAGTGAGAGGCAGGGGTTCCGGGACGCACAAGGCCAGGAGGGCCGGGACGCCCCAGAAATGGGGGTCCGGGACATGCAGCAGGGCACGGGCACAGCCCCGGCGACACCCATGTCCCCGGGGACGGGGCCGGGGAGGCGCAGGGGTGCGGGACTCACCACGAAGGTGAAGCGCTTGGGCGACAGGGCGCGGTAGGGCGGCGAGCAGTCCCGCACGCAGACCTCCACCAGCGCGTCGTGCGCGCGCACCGTGCTGGCGTCCCCGATCTCGCAGACGATCCTGCGGGGACAGAGGTGGCCGGGGGTGGGGGGTGGGGTCGTGTGGGGCGACGTCGCCCTCCCCCTCGTCCCCAGACCGGGGCCACTCACTGCTCGGCGCTGATGTACTCGCTCTCCACCGGGCTGCACAGCACCTTGCCCACGCGCACCCCGAGCCGCACGTCCTCGGAAGCGCCAGCCCCAAGTTCCGCCCGTGATGGTCAGCGCGTCCCCGCCTGGCCGGCCCCGTCTCCGACAGCTGCGGGGGGGAAACCGAGGCAGCGGGTGGGTTGCAACGGGCGGGGCAGGGACGGACAGAGCAGGTGGGCAGGTGGCCGGGACCCACCTTGAGGGATCTTGGGGTCGGGCGCGGGCGGCTGCTGCCGTGGCGCGCGTGCTCCAGCCGCCGGCGCGTCCGCGGGGCAGTGCGGGCGCAGCGAGCACGGGCGCTCGGCCACGCACCAGCCGCGACTCGAAGGCGGGTCGGCTTTTGGAGGCACCAGGCCGCAGCTCTGGCGCAGCGGCCCGATCACTCTGTACCAGGTGCGCTGTGGGGCGGGGCGGGTCAGCTTTAGCCACGCCCACCTCTAGAACGCGCGCCCGCCCTGCTCCGCTCTGCCCAGCGACCACTTTGGGCAGGTGGGAGGAAGGGGAGGGTGGTCAGATGGCCGCGCCCACCCCACAGGTTGGGCGCCTCCGCCCAGCCCCGCTTTGGGCAGGGGGAGAAGGGGGTGTGGTCAGATTGGCCACACCCACCCCAGCAGGTGCCCCGCCCACTGCCCGCTCCGCCCAGCCCCGCTTTGGGCAAGGGAAGAAGGGGGTGTGGTCAGATTGGCCACGCCCACCCCAGCAAGTGCCCCCCCGCCCACCAGCCTCACAGCCCAGCCCCGCTTTGGGCAGGGGAAGAAGGGGGTGTGGTAAGTTTTGGCCACGCCCATCCCAGCAGGTGCCCCGCCCACCAGCCCCACGGGCCAGCCTCGCTTTGGCCAGGGGAGGGAGGGGGTGTGGTCAGCTTTAGCCACGCCCACCCCAGAAGGTGCCACGCCCACCATCTGCACAGCCCAGTCCGGCTTTGGGCAGGGGTGGGAGGGGGTGTGGTCAGCTTTGGCCACGCCCACCCCAGAAGGTGCCCCACCCACCAGCCCACCCATCCCAGCAGGTGCACCCCCACTGCCCAGCCTGGGAGCGGGTAGGGGAGGAAGGGGGCGTGGTCAGCTTGGTCCCGCCCACGGCCCAGCCTCACTGCAGGTAGTGGAGGGAGGGGCGTGGTCAGCTTGGCCCCACCCACTCCCAGCAAGTGTCCCGTCCATCACCCCACCCACCCCAGCAGGTACACCCCAACAGCCCAGCCCTGCTGCTGGTAGGGGAGGGAAGAGCTGTGGTCAGCTTGGCCCCGCCCACCCCCACCCCCCACACCCCCCAGCAGGTGCACCCCACCGCCCAGCCCCGCTGTAGGTAGAGGAGGGAGGGGGCGTGGTCAGCATTGGCCCCGCCCACCACCCAGCCACCCCAGCAGGTGCCCCTGCACTACCCAACCCTGGAGGGAGGGGCGTGGTCAGCATTGGCCCCGCCCAGCCACCCCAGCCGGGGCCCCGCCCGCCGCCCCGCCCACCCCGCCAGGCGCCCCGCCCACCCTGGATGTTCTGCGGGTTGTCGATGACGAAGTTTCCGTTCCACACGACCGACAGGTTCACGGGCAGGTCGCTGATGTCGTTCCCCTCGTACGAGTACTGCGGGCGGGCGGGGGTCGGGGGTCAGGGGTCAGGGGTCAGCGGCCGGGTCGAAGGCCGCCACCTCCCAGGCCACTCGGACGTCGGTGGGCTCAGCTCCTGCGACCCACCCAGCGGCCCCTCCCCCGCCCAGACACCCAGCGCCCCCATCCACACCCAGCACTGCGCCCTCCCCCACCAGCGGCCCTCCCCACCCAGCTGCCCCTCCACCCCATCCACGGCGCCCTCCACACCCAGCGTCAACCGCACACCCAGCGCCCTCCCACCCCGCGCCGCTCCACACCAGCGCCGTCCACACCCAGCGCGACCCTCACACACCCCAGCGGCCCCTCACACACGCGCGAGCCGCGGGCCACCAAGCGCCGTCCACACCCAGCATCCCTCAACCCCACCCAGCGCCTCCCCACCCCCAGCCCTGCTCCCACCCACGCGGCCGCTCACCACACCCCACCCAGCGCGGCCCTCCCAAGCCCCAGCACCTCCCCACCAGCCGCCCCTCCCGCCACCAGCGCACCCCTCAACACACCAGCGCCCTCCACACCAGCGGCCTCCCACCCCAGCGCGTCCACACCCAAGCGCCTCCCACACCCCCAGCCGCCTCCACACACCCCAAGCAGCCCCTGCGCCACCCACCTGCCCCTCCCCACCCCAGCAGCCGCCTCCACACACCAGCGGCCCTCACCCACCCAGCAGCCTTCCCAACCCACCTGTCCTCCACCTCACCCAGCAGCCTTCCCACCCACCCTGCCCTCCCACCCAGCGCCCTCCACCTACCCAGGCGGCCCTCACAGCCAACCCTTCACTCCACCCACGCTCGCCCTTCCCCCCGA